TGCATAGGGCAGTGGGTGAGAATCTTGAGGATTATCTTAGAATTCTCCTACTACATGGAATATAATTATAATACCTGTTTTAATATCCTTTTCTGTTAATTCAACTATCTGTGTCATTTCTGGGTCTGTTTGGTTGACTGATTTTTTTTCTCCCGGTTATGGCTAATATTTTACACTTCCTGTATTTTGAAAATTGTGGATTGGTTGATGGACACTGTGATTTTTACATTGCTGAGTGCTGGATTTTATTGTATTCCTTCAGATATTACTGGGCTTTGTCCTGGGACACAATTAGGACACTTGGAATCAGTATATCTTTTTGACACTTTCTTTTAAGTTTTAAGGTGGGTTCAGAGAAATGTTTCGTCTAGAGCTAATCTGATCTAAATATGCAAGAAATACCCTCTACTTGATGCTTCCATGTATTAAGAGGTCCTTCCACTCTGACTGATGGGAACATGAGCTACTCTCAGCCCTCTGTAAGCTCCAGCAATGGTCCTGCCAATCCTCCCTGCTGGTTCTTTGCCTAAACTTACATAGTTTCCTTACATACATTTGTAGATCAGCCAAAGAATCAAGGGGATTCCCCTTCAAAACTCTGGAGAGTTCTCTCTGTGCAGATCCTTTCTCTCTGGTATTTTGACCGATAAATTCTAACTGTTGCTGCCTGTGAAACTCCAAATCCTAACTCAACTACTGAGACCACAGGGCTGTTTGTTTTCTCCCTCCCTCTGCTTCTGCCTGGAAATGCCCCTTAGTCTGTAAGGTAGGGCCACCATAGGGTTCATCTCACTTGCTTCCTTTCTCTCAGGGATCACCTCTCTGTGCTGCATGTTGTCCAATATCTCAGAAGCACCATTTTATATATTTTGTTCACTTTTTCTAGTTGTTAAGGTGGGAGGGTGTATCTTGTCCCTGCTATTCCATCAGGTCTGAAAGCAGACGTCCATCCCCGCTTTTTATTCTTTTTCTTTTATCTTTTTCTCTCACTCTTCTTTCCTCTTTATTCTCTGCTTTTTACAAGGTAGAATACATGACCATCTTGGAAAATAACTTAAAACATAAAGATTTAAAAAGAAATTAAAAGTTGAAAAAGAAAAAAGAGCATTGAATAACTTTACATGTACTCATGCAAGAGTAAAAAATCTAAAAATTAAATTTATAGGGTGTAACAGAATTGATACTGATTAGGTCTACAATACCATACACTTACCTTTTTTGCTCTCTCTTTTTAATCTTTCTCATTCATCTATCAGTATGCTATCTCAAGACAAAGAAACAGGGACAAAAGGGGGGAAGTGAGTCAGAAATAAAATGAGCCAATGATAGAAGCGTCACACAGAAGAAAAGTTGATGAAGACGTGAGGAAAGATGTTGACAATATATCAGTGTCAAGGGAATTAAAATGTCATTAAAAATACTACCTCCTTCTTTCCAAATAGAACATTTCTCCTTAAAATAAAGGCAACAGAGGGGTCGGCCTGGTGGCATAGTGGTTAAGTTCGTGTACTCCGCTTTGGCGGCTCACGGTTCGCTGGTTCAGATCCCAGGCGCGGACCTATGCACCGCTTATCAGGCCACACTGTGGCAGGCGTCCCACATATAAAGTAGAGGAAGATGGGCATGGATCTTAGCCCAGGGCCAATCTTCCTCAGCAAAAAGAGGAAGATTGGCAACAGATGTTAGCTCAGGGCTAATCTTCCTCACCAAAAAAATAAATGAAGGCAACGGAGATATGGAAGGTTACTCCAAAAGCAAACTTGGTCTGTATCACCACTCAGGTGAAGGGACATAAATGAGCCTCTGGATCAAGCAATAACAAATTATGGCTCATGGCCCCAATCCAGTCAGATGCCTGATTTTGTAAATAAAGTTTTATTGGAGCACAGCCACACTCACTCATTTACATATCGTCTATGGCTGCTTTTCCACTACAACAGCAGTTCAGTAGCTGCAACAGGCACCGTGTGGTCCAGAAAACCTAAACTGTTTATTATTTAGCCCTTTATAAGAAATGTTTACCAATCCTGGCTTTACACCAGAGCTGTTCAGAATTTTCTGTGACGACGGACATGTTCTAATCTGCACTGTCCAATACCATACCCACTCACCACATGTAGCTACTGAGTACTTGAAATGTGGCTAATGCAACTGAAGAAGTGAATTTTTAAAATTAAGTAAGTAATTTAAATAGCCACTTGTGGTTAATGGCTACAGTATAGGACAGCACAGCTCTAGATCAAATTCCTTATCTCAGGAGTAAAGATACTTTTATCTTTCTCAAGCAGCAGAATTAGGCCTAGAACTTGAGTTTTCCAATACCCAGTTCAGTGTTTTATTCACTTACCCAGCTCCCTTTCTGCTATCTCCTGTGGTTAATTTTCAGCTTGCAGCATTTATTTTTACAGAGGACCCACTATATCTGGGTAATCATTTTTAAGTTACCAATTGCCATGATGGAATCTAGAGTCTTCAAAATAGGAAAATTCTCACTCATGAAGACCACTTACAAAACATGACCCAAATATCCCTCCCTGCCTATTAACGTGGCATCTTTCCCACCCATCAAGTCAATATCTTTTTCTTGATTGTTGGTCAGTTTACCACTAGCCACTGATGTTGTAAATAGCCAACAATAAACTGCAAATACACTACAAATTGATTACAAAGTCAAAATGCACAGATGTAGGATTTCCTGAAGTCATACATTAAAATAATGCTGGATAAATGCTTGAAGCGCCTGTGACGCCACTGATGAATGAGAAACTGGCAGGTAAAACTGTAAAAAAAAAAAAAAAAAGAAAAATCACAAGGATTTGAATATGAAAGGATTAATAGAAGACCCAAGGAAACCTTGTGATACCTCTCCAGATTTTTGAAAAAAGACCTTCCTTCAGGTCATGGTGTAAAAAATCAACTGTGAGATAAAGGATGTCCTATGTGCTGTCATACAACTTTGAGAGAATAATTGGGCTGTTCTAGAAATTAGTATATGTTTCAATTAGAACCTAAATACAATACTGTTTAGAAAACAGCTATCCAGAAACTTCGCTTCCAAGGTTGGCCTACAGTGAGCATTTGCAAACCTGGCTGGTAAACAGTACTCTACACTGTGCTTAACCTGTCTACACAAGTAATGTGGTTTATGCTCCTGGGAGTCTGGAATCTTGCTATGTGCTAGGCAGAGGGTGCCTACATGATCAGCACCCAGTATAAACCCTGGGCATTGAATTTCTAACGGACTTCCCTGGACAGAAGCATTCACTGCTGGGGGGAAGAGTAAGCTCTGTGTGACCTCTTATGAGGAAGACAGCATAATAAAGCCTTCACAGTGAAACCTCCAGACTCCACCTGTGTGTTTCTCTCTGATGATCCAGTTGTGGATCCTTACTACATTGCTAAGACAAATCTTAGCCATGAGTACAATTATATGCTGAGCTTTGTGGGTCCTTCTAACAAATTTCCAAATGTAGGCATGGTGTTGGGGACCCCCTTATTTTCTTTGTTTCATATTATATTTTTCAGGATAAAGCCAAAAATCTGATTTTCCCACTATGAAGTTTTGGCCCTTATTTAAGGGGTTTCACTTCAGTGGCCTTTTCTCTGTACAAACAAACTAGTAAGTTCATCACTTTAATGATTCTTCCTGCTCGCTTTCTTCCATTTCATAATCACATAACCTTGTGACTTTGTCTATTCTTTTTTAATTTAAGTATCTCTGGCCAAAAGAAGCCACCCTGGACACTAGCCCACCCATTTTGTATTATTCTTAATCATTAGTTTATATCTCTTACCTCCACACATCATAAACTCAATAATACTATTCCTTCACATGACTACATTTAGGCTGAAAACAGTGGGGATATACTTGTACAAATTTTGTGTGTGTGTGTGTGTGTGTGTGTGTGTGTGTGTAAGGAAGATCAGCCCTGAGCTAAATCCATGCTAATCCTCTTTTTGCTGAGGAAGACCGGCTCTGAGCTAACATGTATTGCCAATACTCCTCCTTTTTCCCCCCAAAGCCCCAGTAGATAGTTGTATGTCATAGTTGCACATCCTTCTAGTTGCTGTATGTGGGACGTGGCCTCAGCATGGCCGGAGAAGTGGTGCGTCGGTGCGTGCCCGGGATCCGAGCCTGGGCCGCCAGTAGTGGAGTGCACGTGCTTACCCGCTAAGCCATGGGACCGGCCCAATACTTGCACAAAATTAAATAAAAATCACCAGGCTCTTAAAAATATACAGAGACAGAGAAATAAGTGTTAGTAAGAGATCCAAGGAATCTTTTATATGAACCCTGGCTTTATTGTTGCTGTTGGTGGTAGTTTCCTTAATGATTTTTCAAAACCAATAATTATTCCTAAAATCTATATATTGTCTATTGATAACAACAAACATTTTCTCCTTAGGCCTGTCAAACAAAAAGATAAGTTTAAAAATCTGAAGAATTTTAAGGTTTAAGATTTGAAATTCAGGGTTACTGAAATAATGATCTTTTAGTAATTTCCTCTTGTGATATTTTTACCGTGGCTGCCTGATTAAGAAAAACAAAGGAGAAAAAGATACAACAAACCCCCGGCAAACAAGCAACTTGTGTTTTTACCCATTTCTTTGAAACTTCAAACCCACTGAGAAATTTTCAGTTAAAAAAAAGTCTAGCTGTCACAAGTATCATCACTAAAGACTCTTTTATGCACAACGGCAAATCATTTAAGACAAAAATGGAATGTATGAGATTTATAACCTGTGTTTACTCTGAGCGCTTTCATTTTATTCTGACTTACATGAATTTTATAATGAAGACAATGAAAAAATGATTCATCAGCAAATATATTGATTTTCCAATCTATACACAATATCTTATCTTCATTTGTAATTTTAAGCAGGTTTTTAAAATCATTTGTTTTCAGGAATCACTTTAGTTTTCAGTTTAAAATATCTTCATTTTCTTCACTTATTTTTCTATTAAAAGTAATAGGAACCTAATCTGGTGTGCACTGTACCTTTAAATGATTGTTTGCAACAGCATCATGTAAGGGCAGAATTCCATCTAGATTTTCACAATTAACGTCAGCACCAGCTTTTAACAACTCTACAATTATATCATCAGATCCCTCACTAGATGCCTCATGAAGTGGTGTCCAACCTAAGAAAAAAAAAAAATTAACGAAGTTGCTGCTTACAAATCAACATTCATGTAATATCTTCATTATTGTTTATCTCACCAATGGAATTAATATCTATATTGATTCACATGTATCTACCAAGTATTGGATAAGAAATAATATTGAAAACTATGGCATTAAAATGTCTAAGTTTCATTTTTTAAAACAAATATTGGGGCCTGCCCCGTGGCTTAGCGGTTAAGTGCACGTGCTCCGCTGCTGGCGGCCCGGGTTCAGATCCCGGGCGCGCACCGACGCACCGCTTCTCCAGCCATGCTGAGGCCGCATCCCACATACAGCAACTAGAAGGATGTGCAGCTATGACATACAACTATCTACTGGGGCTTTGGGGGAAAAGTAAATAAATAAATAAAATTATAAAAAAATAAAAAAATAAAACAAATTGATCTCATCAAAAATATTTGTTGATACAAGTGCAAAAACAGAAGACACACAGAACATAAAATATAATGGGACCAGAGTTAATACTAATCATGTCAATTTGTTTCAACTCAGATATTAAAATAGAGTAAGATCACATCTGACTTCCCCATTTCTATCTTTGCGTTGACAGATTTCTCTTTAAAATGACATTTGACTCAAACAATCTTTGAGTTTTTCAGTCTGGAACTCCTCACAAGATTCTTCTGTGCTTGAGCAAAATGTTAGATCAATTTAAAAATGGAGGTTTCAAATAAAAATAAGGGAAGGGAGAAAAAAGGAAAAGTGTAAAGAGAGGAGGAAAGAGAAGAAGGGACCAGGAAATGGGAAAAATTTTGCATTCTCTCCAGAGTTAGGGAATGGTATTAAGGCTTCCAAAGAACAGGCCTAAATAAGCTCCTCTTACTCCCCATTCTGTGTACTCCCTCGAATAATCCCAAATGTATGTTAAAAACTGTTTCGAAAGAGAAGGTTATTTTAGCAATTGGTGCAAACCAAGATAAACCTTACTATTCAACTAAATAATACTGTATTATAAAAAAGATTGTTCAAAGTTAGCAGTTATAAATCAGCCAGTATCAAAACTGGGGGAGTGAGGGATGAAATGTGTATTTCAGTGAGTTCAAATTATAAAAACAATTAAAAGAATCCAAACCTGCATTATCTTTTAGATTCACATTTGCTCCAGATTCTATTAGAGCTTTCACCAGAGATAAATTTCCTCTTCTGGCAGCCAAATGAAGCCGGCTTTCCCCTCTGGCATTCCTCTTATTGATCCCAGCTGTTTTCATTTCTGTAAATTTGCCAAGCAAAACTGAGGCTTCTTTTCTGCCAAATGCTGATTATTATAAAGGAGCTTAGAAAATAGATAGCAATTTCCTCAAAATATCCTAAGTGGGTACACCACACAGAAACACACATTGTTGTTGCTGTTTTAAAATACAACTTGTGAAGAAATTACAGGGCATCTAAGCATATTGCTTTCGATTCACTCGAGCAGTTGCTCAGCCACGCCAGCACGGGGACTGAAGCAGATCGACCAGCTCCGGCTTTCCGCTCATTCCACTCTCACTAGGCCTTTAGCAACAGATAACCTTTTTCTTAAAACAAATTGTGATTTTTATAAAAATCTTTTTACAGCTATTCTCTCTCTCAATGGGTGTATTTCTGATCACATAACATGCCAAAAACCAAACTACAGCCTATTAGATTTTTGTTTTTTTTTCATAAAAATTATAGCACGACATCATTATTCAAAGATTCTTTTTTTTCTTGCAACACAAGTGAGAGAGACCTAATGGAGCTAAAAACAGTGGACTGACCATGTTTGTTTGTGCCCCCCCATTTCCTTCCCAAATCATGCTAAAACGATAGTAAAAAATTTTTTTAAATATCATAAAAAGAAAACAGAAGAAGAAACAATACAAGACAAAGACTTCAACAAATTTTGGGGAACTGGAAAGTCACTGATGGAGAAGAGTTAACTGACGTGGCAGAGTGGAGAATCCCAACCCAAGTGCCAGCAAAAGGAATTACAGAGGAAGAGAGCCAACTGGACCCAGGCACTCAGCATCGGGGGCATCAGGCACCACGACAGACCACGTGTGTGGAATAGGGCTGGAAACAGCGAGACTGACTGAAAGTGCATGTACAGAGAAGTTGGGACTCTGAGTCCCCTTCCCCAACCCCGAATTGCCTGGCAGCCATTCTTCTTCTCCCAGGTCTCCACCCCCAACGCAGGAAGCTGGAGGTTTATTTTCTGTAGAAACTGCATTAGAGAAGCTTCAGACTGAGATACAAGGCAATGTCGACGATTAGGGTGATGAAACTGAAAAGAATATTCATTAAACCAGTGGTTCTCAAAGCATAGTCCCAGATTGGCAGTATCAGTGTCGCCTGGGAAACCTGTCAGAAATGTGAATTCTCCAACGCACCCCAAGCCTACTCTGGAGCGCAGACTTTAACATGGCTCCAAATGATCCTCCCCTCCTGGTGTTTATGGCCTTGTATAATTCCCTCCTCTTAAACAACTCGCTTCTAACCAACAGAGTACCTCAACATTGAGGGTATTTCACTTCCTTGATTAGGTTACAAGAGATTGCAACATTTTCTGTCTTGCTAGCAGACCTCTCTATCACCTTCAGCCTGCATGTGTGGCTGAAGCAAGTGACCGCACTGGGAAAGCCCACACACCAAGAAACTGAGGACGGCTACCACCCTCAAGGAACAGAATTCTGCCAATAACCACACGAGCTTGAAAGTGGATCCTTCCCTAGATGAGCATTCAGAGGAGACCCCAATCCTGGCCGACACCTTGATTGTAGCTTGTGAAAGATCCTCAGCAGAGGACCTGGCTAAGCCATGCCCAATTCCTGACCTACAGAAACTACAAGATAATAAATACGTTGTTTTAAACTACTAAGTTTGTGGTAATTTGTTACGCACTAATAGACAACTAATACACGTACTGAATCAGACTTTCTGAGGGTAGAGTTCAGCAATCTGTGTTTTGACAAGCTTTCCAGGTGATTCTGATGCAAGCTAAGGTTTGAGAACTCTTGCCTTAAACCATGGGCCCCTTACCCTGTCCTATTTCCTGAATGCCAGCAACCAGACATACAATTTCAGGGCAAGAGAAAAAGACTGGACGATTACTCTCTAAAAGATGGATCATTTGGTTATATGAATCACAGCGAAGACTGACTGCCTCATGTCTATTCTCAAGTGGTGCCTTACAGTAAAACCATCTGACAAATATAGCTGAAATAATCCCATACCTTAGTGAATGACTGAAAAAGTAAACAGTAAACTGAAAGTTTCAAAATTCCCCATAGGAGAATGGATTGCTGGGCTTAATGACATAAACTTTTACCTGTACAAGTACAAGAATACAAACCTTGCCTGCAGGTAGCTTTCAAAAAACTTTGTCTTTTTCTGAACTTCTGAACTTTTTTGTGTTCTTGGATATTTGGAGGCATGTGAATTTCTGAATCTTTTTCTTTTTTCTCCTCACAATTTCTCACAGTGCTTTTGTCTCCATTGATATTATTAGTTAATTCCTCAACTGAAAAACAAACATTTTGCAGTATCAGTGTTGTAGTTCTCCTTACTGGTTACATGACTAAAAGAGTCCAGTCATATAACTATTCCAAGTTTCTGTTCCAAGCTGGACCTTTTTTTTCCTTTCAGGGAATAGAAGCCTTTAAAAATATCTTTACGTAATAAAGTTTGCTGGATGTAATTCTGATGGCAATATAGCAAATCGCTGATATCAATGGAGGTAACAATTTTTTGCTGTGAAAATGTTGTTAGGTTTCCTGATACTAAATAAGTGTCATATTACAAAGAAACATAAAAACTGGTAAAAATACTGTTTACTAACTTGTCAATATCAACTTAGCAACAATCTTTGATAATAATGGTTTGACTTTCAAAGTAAACACTATTACTTCAGTATCCCCAGATCATGGCCTACCATGTTCTAATTCTTGTCAGGTTGGGTGTAGGTTGAGTGGAATTCAGCCAGAAATTTCTATAAAATAAGTAAATCTATAGGAAATGTGTACAAATTGAGCAATACTACCAATACCTGGTTTGTGAGAAATTTCCTTCTCTTCTCTTTGACTAAGTTGTGGGACGTTGGCCAATTCTTTAATTATATTATCACTGGAATGAAAATCTATATTATGTATGGTTTTGCTTTCTAGAAAGTCTTGTCTCCTCTTTTCAACTGTAGTTGTTTCCATAACTTGAGAATGAACAACTGTGGATAAAGGCTCATTTGAGGAACTTGTTTTTTCACCTTTGTCAGTGTAATTCCTTTCAGTGTCTTCTTTGTTATTCACCTTTTCCACAGTATGTGTATCTATTTCCTTTACTAAAGGAGTTGGTGTTCTGGGGCTACAATCCTGAGGCCTTCTGAATAGCTCCACATGACTAGTCAACTTTGAAACTCCATGTGTTAAAAGTGTTCTTGTACAAGCCAGGGAAGTACACTCAGGATTGCCATGTGAGTGATCAAAAGAAGTTCCATATATGCATTGCTCATAATTTGCAACATGTTGTTCAGAAACTATTATGTTATCTGAATCAGAAAAATTAACATCTTTCTGCCGTGGAAGTATGGTTAGACCGCCTGCTTTTAACTCATTTTCTTGTGAAAAATGGTCTCCAGAGGGTAAAGATTGGTGAAAATCCTTTTCTTCTCCATTTGTTATACTCTCTTTATAATTACAGTGGTTTTTGCAACCTGTAGAACATTTCACCATTTTAGATGTCACAGTCTTCTCAGAGGTACAGCAATCACCATCATCATTATTAAAATTTTCCTTTATAAAGGATAGGAAAGAATTTTCCCACTTATTAAGGCTCTCAACTTTTTGACCTGAGTTACTGTTTTCACGAGATTTATAAGGGCTAATCTGCTGTTGTTCTTTGTGAGTGTGAGGCTGCTGATCTGTAATATCAAGTGGCAACTTGATTTCTTTATGTAAAGAAAAACCTGAGAAAGAAACAGCTTCAGCTTGGTCAATGGATTCTAATTCCAAGAATTTTATTTCTTGATTATCTGATACATCCAGGTTCTGGGAACGTGTCTCTTTGGAAACTGAACAAGCCTTGATATTGTTACCCAATCCATTTTTCAGGCTTGACAGAGCTGGGCTGGAAGGTTTACATGACTCTTCTGGAAGGTCATAAAGGGTTTGCAGAATACGCTGCGGCTGAGTAACCAATCTGTTTATTCTTCTGGAAGAAGAGACAGCTATTGTCTTTCTTGGATTGCTTTCCTGGATTGCATCAATCCCTTGAGTCCTTTTGTGTCGTGTGTTTCTTCTTCCTTTATCTTTAGAAACATTTGTGCTGGGATCTTTGACATTATGGAGATTGTCTTTTCTGAGTCCCGTAGAGTATATGTGGTTAACAGTTGATTCCTTATGCTTGGATTTACCAAATTTCGTGTTTTGGGGATCTTTTTGGTAATGTTCATATACATCTTCTTTCTTTATAAATAAAACCTCTTTGCTTCCTTTACTGACTTTTACATGTTCTGGCTTCTGTCTGTTGGAATTTTCATCACAACCAAACCCAATGCAATTTTTGGAATTGAATTTTGGTTTCTATAGAAATAAAATACTTAGTTAGCTTTGATTTTCAGCTGCAGTTCTACACTCAATTCATTCTAGATTGTTGATCAATCAAACTATTCATTTTTATAATCTGATCTAACCACAGGGCCTGCTGGGATATGTACAACCTGATATTTCAGAAAAGTAGATTAACAGAAGAAAGGCAAATGTAATAGACTCAGACTCAGTATGCGTACTAACCTTTATTTTCTGCTATACATTTTAATTTCTTTTTGCCAGTATTGTAGCACTATTAATCTTACTAAACATAACAAAAGTTTTTAATCTACTTAATTTTTATAGGCTTTTAAAATAATCAGACAAAAATGCTTTAGAAACACTCTCTCCCAGTTGTTATACAGATAGAGCTAGAATTAAGAGAGTTTCTTATGGTATCCGTGAGAGACTACAGATACGGCAGCAGAAGAAGGAATTTAAAAACAAGAAGACAGATATGCTACCAAGTTGGTCTGTATGGAAAGATCATTGTGGGCTCCTAAGATTACACAGGGACATTGCTTCCTCTCACTTGCCAGAACCCAAGCACCAGAGGAAGAGTAACTACCCACCATATAAAGTTTAAAGGGATGCACTGACACTTTTGGCTCTTGCACTGTGCTTAAGCCAGAGGAAATTCGATATGGTTGATAAACCTCATGGCTCCATGAAGAGGAGGAGAAAGGAAATGGCTACCAATACAGTAGTATGCCCAGATACGCTACATTTACTCAACTGCTTCCCAAACTAACAGCCCAGAACCCTCTGATTCTCATGTAATTATTCCAAAGTATCTTAAAAGCAAAGGTGAAGTCACTGTTCCTGATGAAGGCTTCAGCAGTCTTTCTTTCCCCTCTAATGAGCTAGAAAATAATCAGCAGGTGCATTCTATAAAACTGTTTCTTGCTAAACAGACATACCTTGTGCTGGTGTGCATCCTCTACATCTAATGGGTCAGTGCTATCCTTCTGAGCTGTAAACAAAAAGAGAAAATCAAACAGCCTCCAATGGTCAGACTCTAGACTTCTAAAACCCACAAGTCCTTTGCCATGAGAAAACCAAGCAGAATAAGTGAAATTATGCACACATTTTCTATTAAAATTGGCATATATAACATTCCTATAATTTATAATCTCCATATTTACTAGAAACCAAATACTATCTTGAGAGAACTGAAAACATTTCTGTAGGAAAAGCAAAACAGAGCCAACAAAATAATACTAAAGACGGGGACTTAACTCAATATTCTTTATATTCCGCACAGATATACCCAGATACGCAACTGTGTGCAAGCTATTTTTATAAGGCAAAAAATTCTTTCATAATTAATTGGATTATCATCTTTTCCTAATATGTCTGTTTAATAAGGTTCTAGTTTGAATGCTGCATTCTCTTAAAAGTGAAACATATGCATGGAAAAGGCCAATCTTTGGAATGCATAGAAAAAAAGATGGCTTGAAAAAAATATACCTAGATTGATAATAAAAATACTTCAGGGTCTCTTTTAGTGCCTCCTTTAAATACTGAAGTTGGAATTTCAGTTACCTATATATGCATTTGGCCACAAACGACAAAAACCTAGAAATAGTGCCTTGCACATAGCAGGTATTCAATGAAGATTTGATAGAGGAAGAAATATCTTAGATGTGATACGTAAAGAATATAAATTCCCTTAAACATATTACGAGATAGAAATGTAAAAATATTTTGACAAGGATGTACCTGGAAAAAAAGAGCAATTTAATTTATTTCTTAGGAATAATCTTGAGACAGCAATCATTTTACAATGCACATACTGAGGCCTGGCACTGACCCATTCACCTCATTCAGGTGAGGCAGGCACCTGAATGTCCTTCCTTGAATGAACAATGTCCTTCAACCAAGCAAGGGGGCTGGGAGCACAGTCTCTGGAACCTCACTCCTGAGCTACAATCTTGACTCATCTGCTTACCAGCTGGGTGACCCTGGGTAAATTTCTTAATGTCTCTGCCTCAGCTCCATAAAATGAAGGTAGTTAAGTCTCTACCTTATAGAACTGTTGTGAAGATTAAATAAGATAATCCTTATAAAGAGTTTAGAGGAGTTCCTGGCACACAGAAAGTGTTACTCCTGGCACATAGAAAGTTTGCTATTACTATTTTTCAAGAGCAGAAAGGACTCTGTGCCTTCTCCTAACTTTGATTCTTAAATAAAAAAGAAGAAAAATATTTTCCAGGAATCATGGTTCCTAAGAGAATCTGGAAGCAAGAAAGTGGCTTTTATTTCCTCGCAACTTTAAGACTCTACATGCTCTAGTGTCACCAACTTAAAAAAAAAAAACAACTACACAGACGTTAAGTTGTGAGGCGGTGAATTTTGGTGACGTAGCTGTACTCTTTTCACTCGGTCACTCTGAGCCCCCGTCATGCGCCAGGAACTGCGTTGAGGTATTTCACATACATTAACTCCAATCCACACACTAACAAGTCTGTAGATATGCAGGTAGAGGAGTAGACATTATAGGCCCAAATTTACAGATGAGAAAACTGAGGATGTTAATTTACCCAAGGTTATAAAATTAGTAAGAACAAGCCCTTGTCCTACACCAAAGTGGATGTATTTAACTCTAAGAAAGAAAAGCAACAAACATATTTTGTATGAGGAAGGTTCTTTATCCATCATTCCCACAATTAAAAGCTCTTCAACTGGAATTTAAAAATGAATAACCTGTTAGTATAAGTGTACAGACATTCTTTAAGTAAACTAATTTTGCATTTATATTGATAAGTAGGCTGATACTTAGTGACAGAATTGGAAAGTTCGAACTTAAGAAATATTTAAACCATCTGGCGAAGCATGATAATGCAGCCCAGCTTTGGTAAATTCCCTCACAAGGGAAGACTGGGAGCTAAGTCCTAAGAAGAAAGGCTTGGGATTCCTTACTAGGAATGAAACTCCCTTGGGTAGGCAGAGGTCAGAAATGGGCACTGGTGAACGAGACATTCTGGATTTGGAGAAATGGCTAGAATGCTAGAGAAAGCACTCCCAGAAGAGCAAAACAATGCGTGCCATCATACAATAGAGAAGTCAGCAATTAACCAGATTATTAAAGCAAAAGTTTAAAAATAAAAATATACATACTTTTGCCTCCAACTGGACATCTGCAATTTTTCATATAGCTTGAAATGTAAATATGAGTGTTTTAATAATCTATCTCCACTTGCTTTTATAGACCTGACCTCAACAAGGTACAATCTGTCCCTCTATTTTCCAGTGGCATTGGGCTACCAGGAAAGACCTCTTTTGCTCTAAAGAACCATTAATTAATTGCCTCTTGGTGGCCTTTAATTATCAATGAAGTTATCTCTTTATTATAAAAGTAGGGTGTTTTGAGGCCGGCCCGGTGGCATAGTAGTTAAGTTCATGCATTCCGCTTCGGCAGCCTGGGGTTCGCAGGTTCAGATCCCGCAGGTTCAGATCCCAGGTGTGGACCTAAGCACCGCTTATCAGGCCATGCTGTGGTGGCATCTCATATAAAGTAGAGGAAGATGGACACGAATGTTAGCCCAGGGCCAATCTTCCTTAGCAAAAAAGAAGAGTACTGGCAACAGATGTTAGCCCAGAGCTAATCTTCCTCAAAAAAACAATGAAAAAAATAAATAAATAAAATAAAAGTACGGTGTTTTGATCCAGGTCTTACTCCTTAGTCAATAGCATTCAAACAATTACCTCTTGGGGAAATTTTATTAAAATATAGTTTAATAAAAGTGAATGAAGCACATACATATCTTTTGAATGGAAAAAATGTTTTGTTCAAAGGACTGACACCACTTACTCAACAAATATTTACTGTATGTCTACTCTGTACAAGGCACTTTAGTATTCATCACTAGACAAAACAAAGATCTTTTGCCTCAGAGAGCTTAGATTCTAAAGGAGGAAGACTGAAAATAAAAATAAGCAGATTGTCCTACGTGTTAGAAGGTGTTAAGTGCTATGGGAAAAGGATAAGTAGATAAGGGTGAGAGTGACTGGAGTGAGAATGGTGGTTCTACAAACATGTTCACATCATTTTTTATACTCCTCCTTTTAAGAGGTGCAGTTTAATTCTGCTCCCCTTGAATGTGGGCCAGACTTAGCGACTCATTTCTAACAAACAGAATGTGGCAGAAGTGATGGCATATCACTTCCAAGATTAGGCTATAAAAAGACTGTGGCTTTTATCTTGGGTGCATTCTCTCTCTCAGGTCACTTGCTCTGAGCCAGGTGCCAGGCTGTCAGCAGTCCTATGGAGAGTTCATGTGGCAAGAAATTGAAGCCTCCAGCAGACAACAAGCAAGAAACTGCAGCCTGCCAATAACCATGTGAATAAGCCTGAGTGGACTTTCCGCCCTAGTTGATCCCTGAGGTGACTAGAGCCCTCACTGACAGCTTAACTGCAACCCATGAGAGACCCCGATCCAGAACCACTCAGCTAAACTGCTCCCAGATTCCTAACCCTCAGAAACTGTGGCAGATAATAAATATTTGGTTTTTTGTTTGTTTGTTTGTTTTTTGTGAAGATCAGCCCTGAGCTAACATCCATGCCAATCCTCCTCTTTTTGCTGAGGAAGACTGGCCCTGAGCTAACATCCATGCTGATCTTCCTC